CGGAACTAACCCAAAGAAGCAACACCGGAAAGAAGCAAACAATATAGTAAAACAACCATCACATAAACATGGCATGATGCACAAGCAAGTATGATGCATGTCCGATTTAATGAAGCATGGCATGGCAATATGACAAATGATACTACAAATTAAGTGGAGCTCAATATGCAACGAGTTGCATATTGATGAAACACCACAACAATTATTTAGTTCTCTCCCATTTAAGTACTCAACAAAATTAAATGTTGGTTATCATGGCAAGGGGTGAAGCATATGAAAACTATACCTATCTAGGCAAATTTAAATGAGGCCGAAACAACAAACAACAAGTCCGGAAAAACCTCATGAGTATATATATTAGATTTGGTACTATTCTGTCCTACACACAATTTTAGAGTTGTTAAACATGCAAAGCAAGTACACCATGTTAAACTAGGCATTTTCTACCCCATTTACATATAAAGTTTGTTAAGTTTGGAGCTATGGTTATTAAGTTGTGAAATAAAGCATTTTAGCATGGCATATGAGCAAATTTGACCAAACAACATTTTAAACATTTCAAACATGCATGAAAGTTGGAAATTATGAAACTAGACAAAATTCTAAGCATTTTACATATATAGTTTGTTTTAATCCGATGCACGATTGGTGAGTTATGATAAGCAAGAACTTGGAGAGTTTTCTGCAAAACAGGAGTCTCTGGAAAATTAGAAAAATCGCAGATCTGGAAAAAAATAGAGACGGGCCTAATCTGGCAGGCCCGGAAAAGCACAGGGATCTGGGCGGCTACTCACCAGCATGGCCACTGGGCTGGCGCGAGCTGGGCCTGGCCCGGTCGGTGGGGGATGCAGGCTGGAGAAGCCGGATCTGGCCGAGCCTTGGACGCGCTGGGCTCGCGGACGCAAAGCGGTGGCATCGGGTCAACAGACGAAGGGGAGGTGGCCCAGGCGACAACGGGGTCACAGGAGCAGTCGTCGTGCTCGCTCGATGCAGAACGAGCAGAGCGGTGGTGAGCCGGTGAGGCAGGAACGCGGTGACGGGGATGGAAGCAGGGGCGCGCCGCGGGCGGCTGGATGAAGCGCATGAGGAGGCAGGGGCTCATGCCCATCCTCGCGAAGCAGGACGACAGCGGCGGTCTTGGCGCGGAGGCGACCACCGGTGACAAGTGGGTGGCGGGGACGACAGGATCCGGCGGTGAGATGACGAGAACCAAGCGAGGCAGGGGGTCGGGCGCGTCTCGTCCTCCTGCTCGAAGCAGAGGATGCAGGGGAAGCAGAGGCCGGCAGCGAGGGGTGCGGGGACCTTGGGACCTGGCGTCCATGGCGGAGGAGTTCCAAGGGCGGCAAAGCTATACGGTTCCTACAGGGAGGCGAGTTGAGAGATACGGGGAAAAAGAAAGGGGAGGGGCACGAGGATTAAGAGGAGGAGGTAGGCACAGCACAGCCTGGGTTTACACCGAGACAAGGACGCAGGAGGAGCGGACATAGGGCTCGGGCGCCATGGGAGCAAAGGAGGCTGGGGAAGGTGGGAGCTACTGCCACTACAAGAAATATGTCAACTGGTGACCTTCTGTCAGTGACCCTGGAAGAATTGGTCATAGATCCATGACCATTTCAAACCAATTGGTCAACAGCTGTTCGGGGGGCTCCAACCCTAAATTATAACGACCATTTTGGTCGGGAAGGTCGTAATTTCCTTACACGAAATGGTCATAAAGCAGATAGAACTAGTCCGCTGCCTTATTTCTAGCTGATCACGACCAATATAGATGGTCATAACCTTGTAAATTGTGGTGGGTTGCTATGACTAGGCGCCACCTCATTAGTTTTGCCTAGGTGTCATGTCCATGTGGCAATTTTTGCCCCAGGCTGTGAAGCAACCTATATTTCTGTCATTCCCAAAATTCCCAAAAAAATCTCATAAATTCTTTGGGTCATATCTTCGTCAAATATGTAAAAAAAGCTTCCTTTCCTAGTTCAAAAATAATTCAAAAATATTCATTTTTCTATTTTGTTCAGAAAAACACTTTGTGAAGGAAGTACCACTTTGGCATGTCCAAATGGTATCCATTTTCTACAGTGCTTTCCTATGCCCAAATAACCATCCTCCACCAAATGCCAGCTCAATCCATTCATTATTTTGAGCCCAGCTTCAATATTCGTATTTATGTCCAGTGTGGTACTTTGCAAAGCAAGTACCACCTAGGCTCCTCCTTTTGAGCTGAAATTTGTGAATACGGTCTTCTTAGTAACTGATCATCCTCAGCCAAAACTCATACCCATTAGCCATGTGCATTTCCTGTACCGCTAATCAAACACTTGGCTGCTTATTCATGTTTGAGCATCGATCGGTCTCCTCATGAGAATCTTATGTTGTGATTTTCTTCCTAGCACCTACTTGGGGAGTGCCCAACCCACTAGACATGCCTAGGCCGCTAGAACACATGGAAACGCCACGGTCACGCGGTGACCATGCAGCGGGCATGTGAGTTTACGTGCTCTAGAGTTGGGGCCCTCGGCCACCGTCGAAACCTCGACGTATCGCCACCAAACCATGTATTTATAATTAAATAGGTACTTATGTAACTAGAAATTATTTTTAGAAGAAATAAAGAGGAAACAATGAGGCAGCTGCAGTTCAAATTTGACCCGCTTCCTACTAAATCAGCGGGAATTTGTCTTTTTCACGAGAGGTGGATCAAAACTTTTGACACTGAACTATTTTGTCAATCATGCATTAAATATGGCCTAGTATTTTATAAAATTTATTTGGCCCAATTTTTCAACAAATATATGGTAGGTCCTTCACAAAAAAACTCATTTCGGGCACTCAGAAAATGGAAAATGAATTTTCCGTGCAAAGAAAATGAAAACTCCCTTGGGCAACATTATTTGGAATTCCAAGATGCACCCTTGTGCACAATATGAGATCATTTGAATAAAGTATACCATGAATCTTCACGCGTGATAGCTCATTTCTGAGAACACTTTTTTAAAATAATTGCCGTATTACAAGTTTATTATTTTTCCTAGAAACTTGGTCACATATGATGACACAATGCGAAGGTTTTCCAATTTTTTAACTTTTTATTGAATTTTTTATGCCCGTTTCAAAATGCGGTCAAAACAGCGGGCTTGATTGTTCCTAGCTAATGGTTGAATCTTGGAAAACTTTTGACGCTTCTCTGATGAAATAGGTACTTATGTAACTAGAAATGATTTTTGGAAAAAATAAAGAGCAAACTATGAGGCAACTGTAGTTCAAATTTGACCCGCTTCCTACTGAATCGGCGGGAATTTGTCTTTTTCACGAGAGGTGGATCAAAACTTTTGACACCCAACCATTTTGTCAATTATGCATTAAATATGGCCTAGTATTTTAGAAAATTGATTTGGCCCAATTTTGCCACAAATATATGGTAGGTCATTCACAAAAAAAAACTCATTTCGGGCACTCAGAAAATGGAAAATGAATTTTCCATCCAAAGAAAATGAAAACTCCCTTAGGCAACATTGTTTGGAATTCCAAGATGCACCCTTATGCACAATATGAGATCATTTGAACAAAGTATGCCATGAATGTGGTCATAAGATTGATCATTTGGCTTGAAAGCCATGAATCTTCACGCATGATAGCTCATTTTTGAGAACACTTTTTTAAAAATAATTGCCGTATTACAAGTTTATTATTTGTTCTGGAAACTTGGTCACATATGATGACACAATGAGAAGGTTTTCCAATTTTTTGATTTTGTTGAATTTTTTATGCCCGTTTCAAAATGCGGTCAAAACGGCGGGCTTGACCGTTCCTAGCTAGTGGTTGAATCTTGGAAAAGTTTTGACGTTTCTCCGATGAAATAGATACTTATGTACCTAGAAATGATTTTTGAAAAAAATAAAGAGCAAACTATGAGGCAGCTGCAGTTCAAATTTGACCCGCTTCCTGCTGAATCGGCGGGAATTTGTCTTTTTCACGAGAGGTGGATCAAAACTTTTTACACCCAACCATTTGGTCAATTGTGCATTAAATATGGCCTAGTATTTTAGAAAAATGATTTGGTCCAATTTTGCAACAAATATATGGTAGCTTTTTCACAAAAAAAATTATTTTGGGCACTCAGAAAATGGAAAATTGATTTTTCGTGCAAAGGAAATGAAAACTCCCTTTATCAATATTGTTTGCAAATCCACGATGTAAACTTGTGCAAAATATGATATCATTTGAACAAATATTTGGTAGGTCTGTCTAAAAAAACTCATTTTGAGCATTGAAAAATGAAAAATGATTTTTTCATGAAAAACTTATCTTTGATTACGACTAATTTAGATGGTCATAAGGTCTTTAAATTGTTTGCTGTGTTCTGATTGGTATATAGACATCTCACGCGGATTGTTCATCAAACAGCGTCCGATTGTCCAGGATCCAACGGCTGCCTTCACCCCCTTACGTCTCACCCACTTAACCCTAACACAACCCGTCTCACCCCCTCACCCTCTCTCCTACGCACTCACAGCCGCCGCCCCCAACCATCTCCCTCGCTCCGATCTCGATCCGCCGCCGCCGCCCCCCAACCTAGCCCTACCGCCACCGTCGACGACCCTCACCGTAGAGGAGGTCGAGGCTGACCCAAGATCGAGCCCAAGCCCACACTCACGAGTGAAGCCCCGCGGAGCTGCCCACAAACTGCTCCTCTTCCCCAACCCCCGATTCCTCTCCAATCTCTGCTGTCGCCGTTGATCCCCACTCCCGTCGGTGACCTCGTCTCCCCGTCCCCCCCATCCCCACCCCCACCTCCGACCGACCTCCCTCCTCATCTCGTCCATCCACCCATGGAAACCCCCTCTTCCACAGATCCACCCACCCACGCCCACCAGTTCTGGCGATGGATGGGGCGCACCAGTTCTAGCGATGGATGGGGCGCACCAGTTCTTGCGATGGCAGTGCCGGACCCGCACCCACCTGTGCGATGGAGGTCAGCCGCATCAAGATCCACCTGCGCGATGGAGGCCGGCCGGATCGGTGTGGCGCGGCACACCACACCGGAGCTTGATGCTGTGCTGGTCGTCGACAACGACGCAACTCCGACGGGACCTAGACGCCCAAGGTACGTACGCCGTTCTTGCCAACTCTTCCATCTCCTCTCATGCGTGGCTTGCGTACTGCAGATCTAACCCCCCATCCTTCCTTCCTTGTGTTCACGGAATGACAACGGCAAGGGGACGACCGATGTGCGTGGTGGACCAGGAGGTGGAGAACCGTCTCGCCCTCCTTGTTCACATCACCTCCCTTTGCTTTCCCTTGGACACTTGGAGAGAGAGAAGGAAGATGGCGGACGAGGGGATGGCCAATTGCATCGACATCATCCTCGCCATCATCCTGCCGCCGCTCGGCGTCATCCTCAAGTTCGCCTGTGGGGTGAGTTTCCCGAGCTTTGTCCCGGTCCCGTGCTAGCTGCATGTTTAAACTTCACAGTAGGTTCTCTCCTGAGCGTGATTCCGTCGAGAGTTGGGTTAACTGACTGTTGGTGTTGAACGTGCTTTTGCAGATCGAGTTCTGAATCTGCTTGCTGCTCACCTTCTTCGGCTACCTCCCTGGCATCATCTACGCCGTCTGGGTCATCACTAAGTAGGTGCTGGAGGGGCTCCTCACCTCTGGCTGCCTCTAGGTATGCATTCACCGATGCGCCTTGGGGGAACTTGTCATGTTTCCCTGTTATTTTCTGTTCAGTACAGTCCTCTGCAGAATTTACAAAAGCAATTTTTACTGTATGAAGAAACTAAACAGATATAGTCCGTCGTATTCTTAACAACACAAAACGATGCATCTTCCAAGAAAAGTAATTTTGCATATCCAGAAGAGAAGCGCCCTGCAGCTTGTTGTTACTTCCATCTCTGTTCCAAAAACAGAGGAACCATCTTTTTTGGTTCAGATAATTGCGAGGAAATTCCTGAACTGATCCCTACTTCCTCTGGTTGTTGTTTGTGCCAGGTGACCCAAGGTTGCTGAAGAGGAGCCGCAGCCGCACAAGAGTATCTGAAGATGACTCCTCCGTTTCTAACCATCCCCTTCCTTCCACTGTTTTGGATGATGAACTTGATCCGTCTTAATCAATTAATTTCTCATCATGCTTAATTAGCTGTAAATGTGCCCCCTTATGGAAGAAGAAGAAGATAATACAAATGTAATTTAATTGGATGGTCTCTTTCATCGTGCTTAATTAGCTATAAATGTGCCTCCCTTACTGAAGAAGATAAGAATCCATATGTGTTACGCAAAATTAACTTTGTCATCTTGTAAGCACTCTAGGCAGTGTCTAGAGGGTGAAAATATGAGAACCAAAAAAGAATTACTTGATTAATTTAAAATATCCATCCTTTACTACGTCCATGTCATTGTTATTTACCCCTGGGAGTATTTTTAACTTGAAAATCTCTGGTGAACTGCCATTTCGAGTACATTTTCTTGCTCTGTTAATTTTTTTGGGTTACTCCATCTTGCTTTGTTAAGTAAAATTTGATATGTGGAGTAGCAGCAGTAAGCTAGACCCTCCATCTTGCTCTGTACATAGTCAAAGCTACTCCAAGTTAGCAGCAATACTATTAACTTCTCAATTTTCTTGGATTACATTTAACTTCTAGTACTCCAGTACTCCAGTAATTTTGCTTAGAGTATTTAACAAGATTGAACTGTACATGTGTGGAGTAATTTTGCTGGGAGTATTTAACAAGATTGAACAAGATTTAACTTGTCAACATTCAACAGTATTTTCAGTAAGTATTCTGAACATGCTTCTAAATATTTCTAGATTTTGAACATGCAAGCAAATCTGCAAGAGTAAACAAGTTCTTGCGGTAGATATTGCAAGTGTTTTATCTAAACATCTACTGTCACCGAAGATATTTCAAGTGGTCTGACCAGATTTTCTCAGTTTGCAAGTTTACTTACTTTTCCAGTTAATTAACTGGACATCTTGGAGTAGTTAGAAAATCATGAATTATTTGCAGAAAACCATAGAAGTATTGTACTCCAGGGTGCATTACTTACATAAACTTGCTTGCAAGCTTATTTTCTGACTCACATAAAAAGCTTAGTTAACTTCTGTAGTACTTTGGGTAAAAATGGAATGGTTCCATCCTGCACAACATACTTTGAGTGAATGTTGAGTACTGTATGCACTTGTGTAATATATATTGGTTGATGAATGCCATGGTGTGTCACTGCTTGTTCCATGCTACATTTAGGAATTGTTCATTTTTGTGTTATGACAACTTCACCGCATCCTGTCGAAACCTTTTTAAAATCTTGTAGATTCTAGTGCTACCACACAACTAGATCAGTATTTGATTACTGTTACAAGTGGAGGTCTAAATCAGCAGAGAATAGGGGTGAGATGTACATGTCCCAACCTCCTTCCCTCCCATGTATGAATACGCTCTCAAGTAGTCATTTTTGTGAATGGGCATATGATAAGAACTAAGAATTCACCTTCACTAATTGTCTATGATATTTCATCAGGATCTATAAGTACTTGAGGTACATATTGGCCGCACCACCAATTTGTGTAGTTCTTGGGCCCTCTTAGTAGTGGGTTCTCAGTAGGACTATAGAGTTGATAGTATGCTTCTATGCATCCCCATTTATGAGTTATGCAGAATAAGAATTACAATTTGCTGCAATTCAGATGTTTTGAATTCTTCAATCTTGAATTGTTCAATGATGATAGCTATCTTGCACCGTATTATAAAATCATGGATCGGCAACTAGGTGATTGTCAATCCGTTCTTGCTAGATGTGTTGTTGTTTTTCTTCTTCTAAGATAAGATGGTAGCATCACATGTCAGCCTATCATGTTCTACTAGTTCCTTAAGTGTAAGATAAGATGGTGGCATCAGATGTGTGTTCTGACTTGTGACTGCTTACTACATGGATACATGTAGCTAGCTAGCAACCTAGCAGTACTAGTAAGAATATATGTGACTAATTCCCTCCCTATACCTTGTGATTGATTTGATTCCAGGTATATACAGATGCCATCTTTGTCTGGCAACATATGCACCTGATTACATTCAGGTGCATATAGTATACTTGAACAGTGTAATGAGAATGTTATATGCATGGTTTCCTGTTGCATACTTCAATTGCATGCATGCATGTTTGCCGTTCCCTGGACTATTTGACTGCTTTGCATACGGCTTGTGTCTTGCTGCTCTCTGACCTGTTGTACTGTCCATATGTTACTTGATCATTTGCAAAATATATCTCGGTTTTCGCTGTAATGAGAATGTTATATGCATGGTTTCCTGTTAAATCTAAAGTTTTGCAGCAAATTTTCATCGTTATGAGAATTTTATATTCATGGATTCACTTGATTATGTTTCTAACTTTTCATAATTTATTATTTGCAGATGCTGGCTTTCATTCTTCCAAAGTTGGGTGTACATGACCTCTAGGAAGAAGAATCCTGAAGAAAAACCACACCCAGCAATGCGTTTTAGCTCACTAGAGATAGTTATGCTTGCAGCTAGTTATGTGTATATTTAGTTGTATTTTATAGCTGAATACCAGAATTGTACTATGCTTGGCTGTTGTATGAAATATTATGCCTTATTGGCTCATTTTGAATCAAATTATCTAATTGCACAAATATAGAACTGGTGTGTGGTACCCGAAAAGCAAACCTGGTAATTGGTTCCCATTTGACGAGTGGGACCTACTTTAAAATAGAAAAGAAACAAAAGAAAACTGACAAGTGGGCTGAAAAAAGGCCGAGGCACCAAAAAATTGCATTGTAAAAGGTTTTGGCCCAAAACATAAAAGTAAACAACAAATGGGTTGAATTGTTGGGCTCGGCCCATGTAAAACACCTAATCGGACCGGGCTGAATGTTGTCAGTGACCTTTTCAATTGGTCGTAATTCTGCCACGTTAGATTGCCACGTCGGATCCGACGTGGCCTGGGCAGACAGTCAGTGACTAAAACAAAAGGTCATGGGTTCAACGACCTTCTATTTTGGTCGTAAACGTCTATGACCTTCTCACAGAGAAGGTCGTTAATTTCAGTTTACGACCGCCAGCTTTTGACCTTCTATTTTTGGTCATAAAAAGGTCGCAAATGAAAAACTATGACCTTTCAGCGGCCAATAGTGAGGGTCACAAGTTGACATATTTCTTGTAGTGTGCTCCGGCGAGGGAGCTCGGCACGCTGGCTCCTCGGCCACCGGTTGGGCTCGGGTTGAAAACGAGGGGAGGCGTTGCGGCTGGCTGCTACGCGGGCCGACGAGGAAGAAACATTCATGGGGATCGGGAGGAGGAGTGGGGTTGGACAGGCACGGAAACAGAGGAGGTGGGTGTCGACGGATCTTGGTGATGTGATGGGGAGTAGTGGCGGCGGCTGAGAGGATCCCTAGGAAATAGGGTTAGGTCCAAAATAGACTAGGGATAGACTATGTATAATGGAAGAAGGGTTTTTTTATCATCCGATGGACGAGAATAAAATGCTAGGGAGTCCAATAAATAAAACGATGATATTTTGGGGATATTTGGGGATGATCCGGACCCAACGGAGCCGACTGTCTAGGTTGGGTTTGGGACAACTTTCGGACGTGCACTCGAGGTTAGTCGATGCACTGTGCAAGGAGGGGAGGTCTGACAAAAGGCCACGGAGGCAAGGGGGTTTGATGGGCTTAGAAAAGAGAGAAGAGAAGGAGAGGCCCGGCGACTATTTTCGGAGACCGAAAACGTCCGACGTTTGACCGGCTATATTGCCCCTATAGTTTAACCGTTGGGCTATCAAACGAGCTCCGAATGCGATGAAACTTGGCAGGCGGCCTATCTACACTATAACTACACCGCATGCCAACTTTCAACCCATTCCGACAACATTTTCCGGCCACTTATAAAATACTATTTCGGACATGCCGTGGGCGCGTGCAAGTGTGTCTGGGCTTAGAACGGACAACGGAAAAAATGGGGAGACCCTGACGGTTGCAAGTTTGAAAACATGATGATGCAATGCACATGATGACATGGCAAGATGCAACACGCAAGCAAACCACAAGGCAACAACAACGAATAACTGGAAGACACCTGGCGCATCGGACTTGGGGCGTTACAAAAGGCATTTTGAAAAAATAGCTACCACTTTAATATCTCAAACGTTTGTATAATTAAAATCGTGTGCGTTCTGTTAACCATTCACGTGACGCCATGTGGCTTGGTTTTAATGGCTATGGGAGGTGCCGTGTGCATGATTGCTTAGCTGAACAGGGGGCGTGCGAGCGGAGTCCGGTGCGCGGGCTGACCGAGAGGCGTGCAAGCTGTCCTCTAATGCGCAGGCTCACCAGGAAGCGTGTGAGCTATACACTGCGCAGGCTCACTGGGAAGCGAGCCCTTTAACTTCCATGGCTGCCCGCCTTCCTCTGCATTAATGGCGCCCGAGCTGCTGTTTAATAC